GGGGGGGGGGGGGGGGGGGGGGGGGGGGGGGGGGGTGTGCAAAATACCCGGGGCCAGGATTGCTCAGAGGGGCCCGGAAATCTCGGTAAAATGTTAAGCCTAGTTTCCATAAGGTCGTTAGCTGTCGTTACCTGTCTTTCGTCGTCTTTGGAGAAATCTTGAAAGACACCGATAACGACCGAGTGAAACAGAAAACGACAGTGTCGCTGGGATAGAACAAATCCTGTCTCAACGACATAAAACGACAGGAAACGACACGATTCTTCCCATAATGCTGCTTGTTCCCAATTCAAAATTGCGGATACAGATGGGGTTATTCACTATTTGGACGAAACGTTTATGGAAGAATTACAAAAATACGAATGCCTTTTTAACAAATTCAGCAAAGAGTTTCGTGATAAGTAGCTGCTAAAGTAGCTGCAAAATTTGGTTTGAATCCAGAAGAAACAGAGAAAAGGTTTAAGAACCTACGTTCGTCCTACACAATATTTCTGCAAAAAATTAAGAACATGCCGTCGGGATCATGCAGGCAGAGATGACCTACCAAAACACGAAACCTACAAAGGAATGGAGTGGAGTGGTTAAGACCATATATCGATCATCGCTCGTCAAAAACAAACCGACACGAAGCAAAGCGGCAAAAAGTTACGAACATAGACGTATTTGCAAAAGCCGACTCTGAGTCTAAGACAAGCGGTGTAAACAATACTTCTAGTGGTTTGAATAGCGACGAAGAGCATTCGATAACTGAAGAGACATATTCGATTGAGGTTATGCATGATTTAGTTGATGAAAGTGACGTACAGACATTGCATGATATGATTTCTGAAACTGATGATGACATAACTATTGGTGACAAGACTGATGCTGACTTTGTACCTAAATCCAACAAAAGTAAAGCCAGTAAGAGAAAGAGAGCTTGGAATGAAGCAAACAAAGCGCCAACAAAAGTGGAAATGGACAAAGTGCTTTACAATGCTGCAAAGTCAATTGAAAACCATTGAAAAGAAAGTAAAGATGAGCATAAACCTGCTAAATTTCACAGCAACAATGCTTTTGGGGAAGATGATGAGGAAACATTGTTTTGTCGCAGTTTGATACCAAGGCTTAGAAGAATACCCCGTCTACATGGAGGATTGGTAGGACTTGAAATTGAACAAATATTTTACCAAGTTGAATGTTCTAGCTTACAAGAACAAGAACAACAATCAACGATTGGGAGTCAAAGCAGTCAATCTACATTTCATTTTATCACACATGAAGATAAAACATCCCAAGAAATTAAAAAAATACTGAACAATAAGTGCCAAGCTATGTACAAATAGCTACAGGACATTATTTCTGTTGTTGTGCAATGCAATCGGGCCTCTTGTTTTGTTTTGACAATATTTATTAACGTTATATAAATTCTTAGTAATATATTGTTAAATGTTGTTAACATTTATATTTATTATGTTACATTTCATAACATTGTAAATTTTTAAATTTCATTATATTATACATTGTGTATATTACAATATTAAATGTTCATTACATAGTTAAAAAATTCATAATTATACTGATTGTGTGTTGCTATTTGTTATTTTCTTTTTTGAGTATTAATTAAGATTTAATAAACATTGCATCATTCAACATTATGATATAATTAATAATTCTTTGTGATGAAAATTTTCAAACATGCTATGTGCATTACGTCACTTGTCTTAGATAAAGTCTCAGCCCTATATAAAGACTGTTTTCACTCAATTGATAATTGCTTTCTTACTTAATTGTTTTGAACAAAAGCTTGTTAACTGTTAACATTACCACAACTTCGGACATGACATAATTGTCAAAGCACTTGGCCTTCCTGATTAAAATAATCTTTGAGATCATTTCTTACTTTACTAGCATTGAACTTGTATCTGTTTCCTGCCAATCTTCCTAAATTTCTCAATCCTCCATCGTTTTCCACAACTTCTCTCCAGTCACCCTGAGCTATATGTTACCAGCTGAGTCTTCACTATCAATAAACCTCTCTGGAATGTAGGCTGCATTATCTGTTAACTGTAGATAGTTATGCAGACATACTGTGGCTCTGGTAATATTCTCTACTAAATTAACACTGCCTCGTATTGGCCTTCGAAAAATACGCCATTTTGCTGCCGGAATACCAAAAGCATTCTCTATAGTTCTTCGTGCCCTGGATAATCTATAATTAAATACTCTTTCTGGCTCAGTTAAATTCTTGCCCAGGTATGGTTTCATTAACCATTCTTTTAAAGGAAATATATCATCTCCAACTAATACATAAGGTGGACACCTTGTACCAACTTTGACTGGCTGGGGTAAATTTAGGTGTACTGCATGAGATTCAAATGCTTGACCGAAGGCAGGATCTGTCAGAACTCCAGCGTCATTTTCTCGTCCATATGCCCCAATGTCAATCAAGGTAAAACAATATTTAGCATCACACGTCGCCAATATAGTACAATACTATGGACGTTTTTGTAGTTGAAGAACGCTGATCCTGCATTACGAGGGCATTCCATTGCGATATGCTTCCCATCTAATGCACCAATACAATGCGGAAAGTTCCATTCTCTTTCAAATTCATCAGCAATATTAGTCCATTGTTCTTCTGTACTTGGTGATTTAAGGTAATCCTGATTTAGTGCGGTACACAAAGCGTAGCAAGATTCTTTCACAATATTAGATACAGTAGAACGCCCAATTCTGAAATAAAATGCGTGACTTTGTTGGGAGTCACCCGTGGCAAGATAGCGTACGGTAACTGCAAGACGCTTGGAAGGTGATATTGGTTTACGTGATTTGCAGTGCTTTTTCGCAATGAGTGGTCCAACAAGTGATAAGAGATGGTCAAAAAGGTCCGGTGACATACGTAAGAATCTGAAATTTCTACCAAATAAGTATGGAATTTTTTACTAAGTAAACAGTAACTTAGAAAATCGAAAATTATTGTAAAAGATAAAATACGAACCTGAAGAAGTATTCTCTGTCGTGCAGACGAAGTTCTAGGACTAGTCTATGGTACGCACCAAGCTCTTCTCGCTTCTGAAAAATTTATCTGACCCAGAAGCGGTGTTTTTTCCTTTTTCTTTGTTGTCGCCTTATCGCAAGGAGTATAAACAAATTTAATTGAAGAAGAAACTCCCTGTTAAGCGCCGCCATTTTGTTTTTCGCGCCGTTAAGAAGACCGCCTAAAGACTGCCAGCGACACTGTCGTTTTCTGTTTCACTCAGTCGTTATCGGTCTTTCAAGATTACTCCAAGGACCCCGAAAGACAGGTAACGACAGCCAACGACCTTATGAAAACTAGGCCTTAGTATCGTTTATTATCGCTTTATGTTTGTCCAAAATGAAATACGCCTACTTGCACACTATCCGCTGATCGTCGTGATCGATCGTAAAACGTACCAAATGTGAAATAAACAATTATTCGGTTCGTTTTTTTCTGGAAAAAAAACCCAGTTATAGCCAAACATCGTTTACATCGCGTCTTTGTCAGTTATGAGATGAAATGAGGCATTTACCTGTATTGAACACATTTATTTTGTCCATCTGCTGGTACGGTAACATGCATGCACGCCACACGCGCCATCGGCACCGAAATTATCCGGCGATTTTTATTGCGATTAAAAAATAGACTTGGGTGTGGCCATCAGCGTGAGAGTCGAGAGGGACGGAGGAGGGCCCGTGTTCGTCAATTTATTCTGGGGGCCGTGGTTGCCTCTCGCCGGCCTTGCGATTCGACACTCCAGTCTAGTCATTAGTGTCTTCATCAGTGGTGATCTGAAGTCGGAATGTGGCTTCTTCTATGTCCATGGGATGACGTCATCTGCCAAAATAATGGATATATTCTTGTGGCAAATAAGCACCGTCATGCCTGTTAAGGATCTTCCAGAATAACGCGCGTTGTTGGCACAGCGACCGCGAAACGTGAGTAAACACAATATTTACATAAATTGCGCAATATTTACATATAATTTAGATACAGTACGTTTCAGAACCGCAAATAGGATGTTTTAGGACAAACTGAAAACGTGAAAAAACCTGCTTTTGTAATACATGACGTGTGAATTAAAATAATGTGTTCCTACACAGCCAGAAACGCGCAAGTTGCAGCAGGTCCAGGGTAGCACAATCCGAAAAAGTCGGGCAAATTTCTTTCCGCCCCCCCCCCTAATTTTTTCCTTCACGTACGCCCATGTTCACAGACTTGATGCAAGTTGATGAAAAAATTTGCATCGAGTCTGCAAATGACAACTTGCAACAAGCCTGGCTTTCTCAACTTGCACCAGCATTGATGCGTTTAACAGACTTGCTGCAAGTTGTTTCCAATTGACATTTGCAGACTTAATTGATGCAAGTTGTTTCATCAACTTGCATCAAGTCTGCAAATGTCAACTTGCAGCATGCCCGATTTCATCAGGCTTGCTCCAAGTTGATGCTGTCAGCAAGCTTGCTGCAACTTGTTGACAACTTGCAGCAGGCCGGTAAAATTCGCAACTTGCAGCAAGTCTGTGGCGTTTCTGGCTATGTAGAGTGTTATGTTAGAGTGTCAGAGTGTTTGAGAAAGTTAGAATGTTAGAGTGTGTTTCAAAAGCGTTTTAAAGATCGTATGGAATGTATGTAGAATGATCTAAGTTTGATTGATGGTTAAAGATTGTTTGAATAAACGAAAAATTGAAAAACGAAATACAGTCCCAGTGGTTTGCTGACTGGACCATCCCAGTGGTTTGTTGATTGAACCAGCGAGCGAAAAACTGTAATAGTTTAACCGAACTTGTGCGAAGAATTTACAACAATCCCTATTCAAAACATGCATGATTACTCATATTTATATATACCAGGCTTCAAGACCACGTCTTTAGCCAAGCGATTGTTAGTGATAATGACTCTAGAGATTTCCCATGTAATCACGTGTTTGGTGTCACACACATGTTCTCCTAAAACTGATTTCCTTTTGATGATCTTTTAGGCGTGTGCCAAACTGGCGTTTAGACTGACCCAGATACTCTTTCTCACTGTTACCACACTGCATAGAATATACAACATTAGTTTTCCGATTTATTTGAACAGGATCTTTCGATAATAACTTACGATTTTCTTACAGTGCGTCTACAGTAGATTGCAGAACAAAAATTGAAATCTAATCAAACTACAGCTCGTCCAATCAAAAGAAAGCATGGAGTTCGTTTCAGGAAGCCATTAACAGCAGTGTTTACTTTTCAAGTCTATTTTTACCGTTTGACATTCGTTTATTTCCTAAAATTGTTTTTGGCCTAATGCTGATTGGCTAATGCGCCGTTTGTTGATTTTTTCTATTTTTTCTGCAATGTGATTGGTTAGTCTTCTCTAAGTGGCCCCACTTAGTGTAGACGCACTGTAATTGGTTCTGTGTATGTATTTATGGAACTACTGCATAATCCTTGACAGAGGTATAACTCGTAAGAAAACTCATGTTGTATATTCTATTCTATGCTGTGACTGTGAGAAAGAGTATCTGGGTCATTCTAAATGCCAGTTTGGCACACGCCTTAAAGTGCTTATTAAACGAAATTTTCACCTTATTTTTTATTGTTTTGCTAAAAAGTAATGCTAGAGCGATGAAGAATGACGTTTACAGTTTCTTCATATCTCATCTCATTCTCAAGTTATCGCACTTTCTAAATTTCGAGTTGTGACGTCACTAGTTTGACTTGAGATAATGGCAATAACAAGAAAGTCTGATATTTTAGAGAGTATTTAATAAAATTCAATGAAACTCGGCACACTTAGTGGGTGCACCCATATGAATATTTTTGGATGGTCATGTGGTTGTCATGGCAACACACTAGTCCACAGTCTCTTCTCTTCTTTTTCACAAATTTCCTCCTGTAGACCTCTTGCAGAGGATGTTTGCATGTTATAACGGTTTAAACTTATCACAATACCTACACGTATGATAGTAATAAGCGACAATTGCAGAAATTACTATTTATTTCGTTGGAAATGGATCATATAGAAATTGGAAGAGAAGGGACTGGGGACGAGTGTGTTGCCATAACAACCATATAAACACGCCAAATTGTTCACTTCGTTGCACCCACTAAGTGTGCCAAGTTTCAGTGAATTTTATTAAATGATCATCAAGATATCAGATTTTCTTGTTATTGCCACTATTTTGAGTCAAACTAGTGACGTCACAACTCAAAATATAGAAACTGCGATAACTTGGGAATGAGATGAGATACGAAGAAACAGTAAACGTCATTCTTCATCATTTAAGCAGTACCTTTTAATCAGACAATAAAATATGAGGCAAAAATTTCGTTTCATAAGCACTTTAAATAACATCAAAAGGCTGTTTCTATTTTAAAGGGAATCAGCTTTTAGCGGAACATGACACCAAATACGTGATTGCGTGGGAAAACTCTGGAGTCGTTACTACTAACAATCGCCATGGCCAAAGACGTTTCCTAGAAGCGTGGCATCTCGGTCAGTCTAAACGTCAGTTTTGCACAAGCCTAAAAGAACATCAAAAAGCTGTTTCAACTTTAATTAACGGGAAATCAATTTCAGCAGAACATGTGTGACATCAACTAACAATCGCCATGGCCAAAGACGTTGCCTAGAATGAATATGAGAAATGATGCTTTGAATAGGGACGACGGTGCTTGTTTGCCACAAGAATATATCCATCTTGTTAGCAGATGACGTCATTCCGTCATTCAGATCACCTCTGATGAAGATACTATACAGGAGTGCCGAAATATTGGGTCATGAATGCAATTCGTCTGGGCTTTGCATTTATTTATTTATTTATTAAAACCAGAGTAGCGAGCAAAAACATGACTGATATACTTTACTCTTGTTTTTTATAGCAGCATTTACATAGATACATTTGTGTCATGAAAAATCACATATCTCATGTACTTTATAATACTTTTTTGGAATTCTGTATATTCTTACCCCAAAAATGCTGGAAATCGCATTTCAGGGACTCTAGATTTCAAAACTCTCTGCCGCTAATCCTACTACGCTGACGTCGCCACTGCATGGTGGGAACGAAATGTCAACCCAAATAGACGAACAATGAATTTGGTACAATATATACCAGGGCGGAAACCGTGAAAGCACATATCAACAACTATATAATAGTACATACAACTATTTTAATTAAGGTTGTCCCAGAGCAAAGCAGAAAAATCGAATACGAGCGCGAAAGTTTGCTGGGAATCGCTAAAAAAATATTAGTATACACTTAAGGTGGCTCGATATAGTTAACACAAAAGCCCTGCTCAAGAATCGCGAACAAAGCCAGGTGACCATTTCTACGCGCAGGTCGCGGAAACTGATCAAGAAAAAGAAAGAACTTCCAAAATTACCTGACGTGAGCAGTTGCTCGCGCCATCTCAGGTCATTGCACACGTGCTCTATAGCGTTTTACGTCAATTGCTGACGTCATTAGAATTTTCCATTTTAGAAAAACAATGCGCTATAACTCTCTATTTTGTCTGGTAACCTATATTCAAACTTTGCATGCCGTATTGCACCACTAAAAACTTTCATTATACAAAGAATAAAAAATTCTCTAATGCCAAAAACGTTTTACCGAAGATTACGACATTTTCACATTTTCCAGAAAAATGGCATTACAGAATTTTTTATATTTTGCTAAATGTTAGTTTTTCTTCCAAGTAAAATAATGCACGAAAAAAATTGGGGGTCACCACGCTTCTTTTCCAACTATACGAGGCGATAGGCCATTTTGGAGTGAATTTCGTACACGTATGTCGTCATATCAAGTTATCAACGAATTATCTGTTACTAAAACTAATATAATTTGAAAGTAGAGATATCAAAATATATAAAAAGCCTAATATCTTCTGAATAAATCCTAAAAATGCGTCGTTTGAACATGTTAAAGTGTTGAACACGTGGTTTTTGAAAAGTGTATCGAGCCACCTTAAGCTGTGCACACACGCCACGATTTTGATCGGCAAGCCAGCGTTTCTCCATATGAATAATGGGACTGGAAGCCATTACGTACAATACAAGATTCCCAGTGTAGGCGACCCAAAATTACACTAATAATAATCATAATAATAATAATTATCATTATCATTATCATTATTATTATTATTACTATTATTATTATTATTATTATTTTTATTATTATTATTATTATTCCAACAAGACATAGTTACTGCAGTCTGATTGGTGGAGAGGCGTACAAATATTTCACTGATTGTACAGGCGAGGTTTGGAAGCAATTTATGGGAACAAAAATATTCAAAATGGCGGTTAAACACTTGTGCATTTTTTTCTTTTATTTATAAATTTCAGGAGCTTTAGCAAATCAATTTCCGATACAACAATATACTAAATATGAAGGCAATGAGGCATAATTGAGTGAAGTTTGTAATTAATCCCCATTACAAGCTCAACTCGTTCAATAAAATAATTGTACTCCTCTCGACCAATCGGAATTCAGTAATTTTGTCATGCAATAATAATAATAATAATAATAATAATATGATCATGGAACTATGATCTAATGGGTTTACAATTGTCAAAACAAATGTTATAAGCATGATATAAAAGCAAATAAATGTTTACACAATAGCAATACTGTACTTATCATAAATAATATTACTGAACTTGATTCAGCGAGGGCCTGTGCAGAACATTTAAGATTCATATATTTTTACATGACAAATCTCGTTAATTTTTTCTCAAAAACAAAATTTTCAAAACAATTTATTGGAAAGTTTTTACAGTTTTTTTTCGACGTAATTTTCCATTCAAGAACGTGTTCACTTTATGTATCTTTTTGGCTTGTAGCGCAATGCTCGAAATGGGTAAAAAGAAACCGTGGCCATACGCCTTGGAAAAAATGACGGGAAGCAAAGAAATGTCTGTAGCTCCAATTAAGGAATACTTTCAACCACTCGAAAAGTGGCTGGTGAAAGAAAGATGCAGCAAGAAATACAAAATTGGTTGGCCTGGGCAACCGGCTGATGGCGTCGAAGTTTGTCGAAATAGTGGTCTGATTGTACACAGTGACACACTGTGGCTCGTTGTTACAGTAATTAGTGTAATCCAGTTACTTGCTTCATTATAATGATCAGTTTTATCGAGAAAAAAAATTAAGTTTTGTAGTTTGTAATTTTAGCAACGTTGTTGTATGTTGTAAACAAAATTAGTAATAAGTTCTAAAGATTATACAAAGAGTATAGGGAGTAATAATAAAATATCTAGTATGTGTGATATCAGCCTGTGTCGATGCTTCACTATTTTTTTTTCAACATGTCAGGTATTCCCCAGTCTGTGTCCCAGGCGACTGCACTGTTTTGTGTGGACTGTACAATAATCTCAAATTTCTCGTCCAACATTTATATTCATGATTAACGAATTGTTTGAATTTAAAATTAATGCAAATGATTAAACGTGGCCGCCGAGGTAGTGGCATAAATACAAATCAACATCGGTTTTGTGAAATGGTGATGTTCTGTTGAATAATTATTTGGTTATTACGATCGACAAATCGGAAGGATTTCAATAGAAAACGATGGATTTTTCATAACGTCGAATAATATACTATGGTCATTGCAAGAAGCTTTCATCAATTTGATTTGATCATCGTACAGCTCACCAACCATATAGACGCATGTTTTATGGAATCAAAAGCCTCTTGACATAATTTTTTTCAATTTGTTCCACTGAGTCCACAGACTCTTTACGGCGGTCATACTTATTAGATTTGCGTTCATTATAAATTTGCACAATATATGCTCGGAATCACTGTGTTTTCTGATTTATTTGGATCAGGATCTTTCGAATATGGCCTAAAGTAAAATAAGGTTTTAAGGCAACGTTCATATTACAATTACTTAAGATTCTCTTGATTTGTCCTGTGACACTATGAACGTATGGACCTGCTGCATAACTCTTGACAGAGGTATCATCATTGGAGTTATTGTGATTCTTACAGACAGTTGGTTTGAGGGAATTATTCACAAACTTTTTGGGCAATCAGGTAATCGTTTTCTCTTACAATATTTAGCACATATTCACGTTCATTAACTTGAAAATAACTGTGAGGGCAATAATTCAGCTCTTTAAACCAACTTTTCTGCCACGAACTATTATAAAGTTAAAAGTTATTGCACAGAGTAGCACCAACTGATATAATAGTTCAAATGCAATCATAAGTTACCTCTTCATGCAATTACGTCTCGGAAACTGTGTTGGAAATTTAAATGCTGGCTCACTACATCACATTGTCGTTTTACATCGTTGTATAAACATTTTTATCGCATGTAAGAAATTATTTCTCAGCCCAGAGACATAACCCAAAGATTTAATATTAACGTCCTTGTAATTTTATAAAGATAGAGCCAGAACTGAGGATTCTAGAAAGCGTTGTCTGTACCTTCTTAAAGGAGCACTGTCATCAAAATTTTTATTTTCGTAAACGAAAATGCTCTTAAAACTGTATAATAACTTGTTTTGAAGATTTTTGTTCCCATGCTTAGTTCTTGAGATATTTCATTTTGTTTGTAACCATGTGACGTCATTTAATACTCAATTACATATGTAATGAGATATCAGTAATTGTTGTGTATCTTTGCTACTTTTTTATCAAAATCTTTCGAAAGATGCGGCGCGTTTGTTAATTTAACCTACATCATTACGCATATACCCTGGATTACAGAGCCTTCAGTAAATAATACAGAATCTGTTCTAAAACCACTAATTCTGTTTTGTGATTGGCGCGGTTTAATCAAAGAATCCTCCCGTTGAACCAGAGCCTTCACGACGTTTCAATTTATTATTTACTGAAGGCTGACCTCTGGAATCCAGGGTATTACACATACTGTTTTTTTTAAACAAATCCATCAAAAATAGCAAATATACACAACAATTACTGATATCTCATTAGTATAGGTAATAGCATGGTTTCGAGTGCAACTTGGATATAACATGCACGAGTGAGTTTTTCAAAACGAGTGCATGTTTATCCAAATTTCACGAGAAACCATGCTATTACTTATTAATAATTTACATAAAATAATAATAACTTATTTGCGGAATGATTAAAACTCAGGCGATAATGTTACATGACTAGGAGTTGACTTTTATGCTGTTCGAATATCCATTTTCATTCGAGGATTACTACAACTTGTTGGTCTCATGAGTACCAAAATCGACATAAACGTAAACCAGTAACCAAGAGTTACTTTAAAACAAATAGCTTTTCAAAAAGATAAACTTTATTCAGTCAAAATGATGAGGGTAAATATAAAACATGCTACTGCGTGATAGTGATTTCTAAGCAACTTTGTCACATATATTTTAAAAAGTGGGATAATGAAACAGATTTTGCCTTTTGCAATCCCAAAAAGGTATGAAAATTATTTAAATATTTAAGGTTTCCGTGTTTAGAAAGTCTGTTTTTTAAGAAAAAGAAAAATTTTCCCGAGAAAGAAGCACAGTTTGTGTAGAAAGTTATTTTTTGAGATAGAAGATCCAGGGAGAGGGGGTGTAGAAGTATGGTCGGAAATAAAAAAACTTTGACTTTTGCTCCAAAAAATTAATACCAAATTTTGTTTTGCCTTTGTTTAATGTGTAATTTAAACAAGTCTTTTTACATCTAAAAATTCCGCCTAGTGATCAAAACTTGGATTATGTTTGCAGTATTGGCTATTTGTTCACTTTTGGAGGTCAAAGTTTGAGGTCCAATTATTTTTAAATTTTGCAAACTACTCAGCTAATACTTGGCTGTTGTTTGCAGACTTATATGCTGATTAAGATTTAATTTAGTCCACAATATTAGATCCTTTCAATGAAGGGAAATTAAAAATAGTATTTTTAATTACTCTTGCAGCACAGTCAGTACATAAGGGACTGGTCATAAAGTAAAAGGGAGGGGTGGGCTGGGAAAAATAGGGGGGTGGGTCACTATTTTTGAGCACGGTTAAAGGGGTGGGTCATCGAAAGTTAAATGCAATCATAAGAGTGGGCCATGTAAAAATATGCAGAAATTTGTTCAAGGGCATGTGTATTAAAATTCATATTATAAAAATAGAAATAAAACGTATCAGGATCCATGTTTACAAACTCATCAGACCATATTCTTTTGTATTTTGTCGGTTTTTAACTCCTCCGTAATAACCTTCTACCTAAAATAGGCGGTGGTATTTGACTTCTCCGGGGGAATTACGGGGTAATAAACTGCTACCCGGTTATTATTTTCCGTAATAACCTGGTACCCGGTTATTACGACAAAATAATAACTGGGTACCCGGTTTTACATTTTCAATTCAACACGTTTTTGCATTAATGACGATAGTTCAGCCGTCATCCATGGTGTAGACATATCTCGTATTCGTGACTTTTTAATCGGAGCATGATTGTCTATAACCGTGGTGAAACATGCATTCCACTTTAAAACCGCTTGATCTAGATCTTCGTCGGCGGTTATCGAACACCAATCAACGGATTTAAGATCATTGATAAAATCTGGTTTAGTGTAATGTTTAAATGAACGATGCTCTATTACCCTCCCCGGAGATTTAAATTGACCAGCTTTATAGACACAATATATTAACGAATGATCGCTAAGGTCCAGTGGAAAAACACCACGGTCGACAATAAATCGATCAATGTAGACGACGTTTCAGTAACTCTCGTGGGGTCTGCTATAAACTGCTCAAAATTATGAATAGATAATAACTTAGACAGTTTACGCCTTTGTTCCTTGTTTGTAACCTTTCCCAAAGTTTGCATATCCACATTAAAATCCCCGAGTAAAATCGTATGAACATCCTCAGATGTGTGCAGAGAATGGCTTAAATCCTCAATAAAAATGTCGAGATTCACATCAGGCGCTCTATAAACTGTCCACACCAAGAGCGTTTTACATTTCGGTCTAACATCTTCAATACAGCTTGATTCGCAAACCTTGCTCATTAAATCTGTTCTTGAGCTGTATGGAATGCCGTCCCGAATGAATATCATAGTTCCTCCGCCAACTTTATTCGATCTATCATTTCTTATACACGAGTAACCAAGAAGAGATACCTCATTATGAGAGATAGTGGGTTTTAACCAGGTTTCTGAGATTGTCAAAATATCGACAGGATTATCTCAGCATTCTTAGTGAATTCATTTTGCCCACGATGCTTCAGATATTAAGATGAGCGATTTTGAGCCCTCTAGATTTAGTAAGATTCTTTAAGGATAGACCAGGCCCAGGATTAGAAGCAACATCATTTGATAAGTATACCAGAAGCAGCGCAAGTGTAGTCCTTTGACCAAGAACACAACCAGCTTTAAACGAGTAGAATACACCTAATTTATAGCAACGAGTAGAATACACCTAATTTATAGCAAGCTAATTTATACCCCTCCTAGTCAAAATCCCTGCCCCTCCCCAGTTGGGGGGTTTACATTGATTGGTGCATCAATGACAGAATTAGTGTCAGTGCCACATATGTAGTAAAGGCCAAATTGTCAGTAAAGGCCACAGAGCAAGATTGTATTTCAAAGACTGCCAGTGACAAAAATAATTGATAGCCCTGAAATAGAGTATGCCAACAGTTAGTATACTGCAAATAACTATTCTATCAACAAGATAATGTGTGTTTTTACAAGTAACCTAATATTCAGCAGTGTCTGTGTAATGTAATACACCCTTACTTCTCAATAGTCAAATTAACTATACACTACATTGTGTATAATAATATATGGACTGGTTAAAAAATATATTGAATTTATAAGTGTTGAACTGGTGAACTATTGATGTGGAGATTATGCCAAGTATACAATGGCACAAGGATTTTCATGTTATCAGCATGATTAAATCGTAAGATTGTGCAAATAATCTGTGTAAATCTCTTAAAGATACCCTCAGCAGCTACATTTTAAGGTACAATGACTATGGTAAAGCTATTCAAGGCAAAAAAGCAATGGATCTGTCAACCTCGTTGTCAACAGTAAATTTAACTAAGTTTATGATCCATTTATTGCCGTATTTTAGCTGAGAATTCATTTAAGACAATGCAATGCAATACGATAGACTTACCTTTGAATTTGTCATATATTCTTTTAAAATGGTCACCAAAGCTCTAAAACTCGATTGGTATCGTTTTAACTTTCTCACTTCTTTTAATGTTTACGTGTAAATTTGTCAAATTACACTTGTTTAGGGCACTGGAAACGAGACGCGGCCAAAATGCGCGAGGCGACATGCGCGGGGACATCAACATCAAAGATTCCGACATCGAGTGAGACTTCTGGTCTTATTATTTATTTTGTGCCTCGGGCCTTCGGCCCTCGGTCTTCACAGTTTAATAAAAACCTCTCCATTGGCTTTTAACCTGCATTTCATAAGCTTATTGCCAAATTATGTCAACCATAATATGTCATGTGCAATGGCTTTAAACCTGATAAAACACTCCTAATTAGTATTCTTTATATAAAGAATACTAATAAGGCAGTATCCATTGTAGCCGTGTTCTCGTTAGTATTCTTTATATAAAGAATGCTAATAAGGCAGTATATCTATTGAATTTGTAGTCGTGCATGTTTGAAGCCGTTTAATAGGTCGTGTTTTATTAGGTCTAAAGCCACTCGCGCTGCGCGCTCATGGCTTTAAACCTAATAAAACACTCCTGCTCGTTTATTAAACAGTACTTAAAATTTATACCGCAAATGTTATTAACCTCAAACTTAAAAGCTGAATGTATTAGTAGTCTTGGCTAATACTTTAGTAGTGGCTAACTAATTTTCTGATAATCATTATTGCTAAATGTCACGAGCTTTGTGTAGGATGTTTATAATGTGACACAATTAGTGTAATTTTGTACAAGAGCATAGTTAAATCAGAGTCATCGTTAGCGGTTTGGCGCTAGCTGTAAATGTCAAACTAAAGGTCTCTAATTACGAGAAAGATGATGCATAATGCAGTATGCATGGGAAGGTCCATGCAAAGAAATACCTTTCAGTATTTAAGTAAGGGCCTCTTTTAACATGTAGACTGGGGAGGGCATGTTCCCCCCCCCAGCCCTCTTACTGGCCCCTCCAGTCGGCAATTTGTCCCCCCCCCAGTGAGGTCCCTAAGAACTACCTGGAGTAGGTGGTCAACCAGCAATTATGTGTCAAAGTGAGAAAACGATGCTAAGTTGTTAACATTTCTGAATTTGACCATCATCTGCAGACCCGTAACTAGCTATGAGTCCACCGAGTCAGTTGACTCGGTAGGCCAGAATTTGCCGGGACTGAATTTTAAGCATCGCCAGAAACCTAAACCATGACTGAAATAATTTGCTCGTGGAACAAGGCATGAAATGGCATTTTAGGACGAAACTTTAGTTTAGTTTTTTCCAAGCAAAGATACTCCAAAGAGCCACCCTATATTGCTCTTCAGTGACACTGAGAAGACGAATGCGTCGATTTCAAGTACCCCAATACATGTAATACAGTACTGTAGAATTTGAAGTGTGCATGGTGAATGATAATACCATATCACACACATTTTCATTACCACATCATCACACCATATGTTGCCTTATTGCCGTTATTGGGACTGGATTACATTTGGGAGACTGTGAAATTGTAGTAATTGCGTCACTGTTTATAAGGTAAATTTCTTGTTGGAAAACTCCTCATAATACGGGAAATAGCTTATCTGAGCTTCAAGAAATCAAAAAGTTTCTGGAGGGCATGCCCCCCAGACCCCCCTAGAAGCTCGCACTTTGGTGGTCGACTCGGTTGTTTCAGAATCCTAGTTACGGCCTGATCTGCTGCCCTATGACTTACACTTATTAGTTAAACCATGCATATATATGCTAGTAGCTGCAGTGATACAGACTTGCCGACTGGAACTTCTGCAGTTCCCCCACTAAATATGTCCCCTCCAGTAACACATCCTTAAAAGAGGCCCTGAATTTTAATTGCACCATTTGAATAGCTATTGAGTATCGTAACACAGAATTATTTGGCAACGGAAAAATAGAATGCTAGTATCTTTCGTCTTTCTGAAAGGGTGGGTCATAATTTTTCAGCATCAATTTAATAAGGGTCAGCTAGGGCCACAAATTTTCATGCAGCTATTAAGGGGTGGGCTACCAAAAGTGCAGACACCAAATATATGATTTTCCCAGGCAACCTCTCCCCCCCCTTTTACTTTATGACCGGTCCCTAAGTGGGGTGCAATACCAAGCCAAATTGCAAAAAAAATTTGCCTATTGCTCCAAATTCAAAATCATATTTTTTTTGCTCCCAAAGCACATAGGAAACAGAATTTAACAATAAATTTTGTTGAAAAATTCCGCCTATGCGTCTTATTTCGCTTTGAAATGCGTGCGTTTACTGCTCTTGTGTGAAGCAAAAACATTCGAAGTATTGTAAAATGTAATGGAACCGACAATTTGACCTTGCCCTTGAGACATTGGGTTGGAAAAAAAAATGAAAATTTTTTCACAATTCCGAGGTTGGAAAAAAAATGAAATTTTTTTCAAAATTGCGAAGTTGAAAAAAAAATGAAAATTTTTTCAAAATTCCGAGGTTAAAAAAAAACGGAAGTTTTTTCAAAATTCCGAGGTTGGAAAAAAAAATGAAAATTTTTTCAAAATTCCGAGGTTGGAAAAAAAAAATGAAAATTTTTTCAAACTTTCGAGTGTGGAAAAAAAAATGAAGATTTTTTCAAAATTCCGAGGTTGCAAAACAAAATGAAAATTTTTTCAAAATTCGGAGCGTGGAAAAAAAAAATTTTTTCAAAAGTCCGAGGTTGAAAAAAAAATGAAAATTTTTTCAAATTTCCGAGGTTGGAAAAAAAATGAAAATTTTTTCAAACTTTCGAGTGTGGAAAAATAAAATGAAGATGAAAAGTACTGAAAAGTACTGAAAGCACTGAAATGTTTTTTGACAACGATAATTTACCAGTGTTTCTTGGATATTTTCCTTGTTTAACTAGTAGAACCGAACATACAATTGAGATATACTATTGCTCGAGTCAGGATTCGAGCCAGGACTCGAGCCAGGACTCGAGTCAGGACACGAGCCAGGACTCGAGTCAGGACTCGATCAAAAAAATGCGAAAATACGGGGAATTGCCATTACCCAATGGTTTTGTTTCATAAGACACGTTACGCAGGCTAGCTAAATGTTCTACTACTAGCAAATTAAATACAACTTTTCAATAATTACGCTAATCACCTTGTGTAATTTTCCAATGAGAGCGAGGTTCCAAGACCAAAAAATATGTGTAATTATCGAAATGGTGTATTTGTTAATACAGTTAGCCAGCGTGGGCGGCTCTTCTATGATACAGTTTGGTGATATTGGCGTCTATTACAGGAAAATAAGGCAGGGAGAATTATCCTACTCTTTGACGCATGCTAAGCTGCAATGAGCGGCAATAAGTATCTGTTTGTAAAGAGCGAGAGACTGCTAGTGATGGGCAATACCAACTGTTTTAGTTCGATAAAATACTGGCCGGATATTTCCCTTTTTTGGATATCGATATTTGTGCAATATATCAAAGACAAACAACAACAATGGTATTTGACAGCTCTGTATGTACAAATATATCAAATATCAACTTTCATTCTTTAGTTCTTTTATCAAATCTGGCGGAAAAAGGCGGGAAATTGATTTGGTAAACAAGTTCTCTCACTTCCCATTTGCCAAACATTCCTTACTTTATTGATAAACAATTCCTCAAATTCAGTTAAATTTCCTTAAAATACTCATTAATAATTCATAAACCTTGTGGCAAATCATGTCAGCCATAATATGTCACGTGGAGCGACTTTATATCTGATAAAACACATGTGGCATTATATAAGTGTTCATCTTAATTAGCATGATTATACTATGGTTTATTCTAATTAGTATTCTTTTGTAGTCGTATTTTAAGCTATTCAAAACACTCGTTGTCGTGTTTTATCAGATATATAACGCTCGGCTGCGCCGTTTAATAAACTCGTAGGTCGTGTTTTATTAGGTCTAAAGCCACTCGCGCTGCGCGCTCGTGGCTTTAGATCGACCTAATAAAACACTCCTGCTCGTTTATTAAACAGTACTTAAACATTTCGCCTTGTTGGTGAACGACTAGTCTAAATTTAAGGAAAGTTCCTTAAAAGAGAGAAAGCTCTTGGTAAATTTGCATCCATCAAAATCACATGACGTCATTTTTGGCTCGAGTCCTGAATCGAGTCCTGGCTCGAGTCCTAGCTCGAGTCCTGGCTCGAGTCCTGGCTCGAGGCCTTGCTCGAGTCCTGGCTCGAGTCCTGGCTCGAATCCTGACTCGATATTTAGGTACCCTCCATATAATTAAGTGCTTCTGAACACTAAGCGAGAGTTTGGTGTAGAAATGTGCTGTTTACGGGAAGTTATTTTGCATTCGCAAGGCGTCGACAAAAGCGGGCATTTTCGGCGCAGATTGATTATCATATCGATAGATAAAAGCTTTACGAAATTCAATTGAAATACATTTTAGACCACCCGTATTTGAATAGAATATATGTTAGTCGTATTAACATTGAACTTCTTTCTGTTTGAACGTACCCAAATTTGTACTTGTTTTGCGTTTGACAAGGCTGTCAAGCTGACAAGCTTGCGACGATTGACTTTTTAATACCTCGGGCATGACTGCAGATTTAGCGTGTCACTGACACTGTCTTCTTGTTTGTGGCAAAATTATAATATTCTATTGCTGTTCAAACGAGGTATTCTATACAGTGGAATCGTAGAATACATTTTACTTTGCCTTTGTCTCAAGCAAAAAATTATAAAGTTTAAACAGGCATTCAAAAATATACAACAACCGCGAGCGGCTCTCTATTATTGTAAATCTTCAAGTTTCAACTTTCAATCGAAATTTTGGTTAATCTGGCGCATGCGCAACAAATTTCCCAGCTGCTTTCACTCCAATTACCGGTGAATTATTCATACTTTGACAGTTATATGCTATATAACAAAACACCTATTTACTGAGACCTCGGAAAAGCAGTGTGTTTTGTGGCCCCTCGACCGCTGTCGTTGTCCTCGGCTTCGTCTCGGAAAATTGTATTGCTTCGCTTCGGAAAATTGTATTTGCCCTGGACTTCCCACCTGAAATTACTGTCAAGACAAAATTCCAGTTTGTGAGAAAACTGTAGGTTTACGGAGCGGTAACGTTTTGGATTTGAACTCAGCGTGTTCGAAAGTGTTAGTTCCTGTAAAACATTTTCAGTTCCAAGACATCATTTTCTATGAAAATCATTTTCTGAGGGAGGGAAAGGGGG